GAAAACCCATTTTAAGAAAAATCGTTTCATTACTGAAAATCATTATTTTGAATATTCTTAAAATTTTCCACACCCTTTTTTATTCCAGCCATTCCGTCTATTTGAAACTGGGAAGAATATGTATATACAGTCAACCCTCGAATTAACGGTCCCGGAACCAACGGACCCCGGATTTAACGGATAAAATCCACAGAAATGTTAGTCCGTTAGTTCCAGAATTGGCCGCTGTTGTTTCCTGGCGCAATCAACAGACAGAGATTGGTAGTTCCGGGAATAGCCGCTAGTCGTGTACACACATGCATCGTCTCTCAAATATTTTACACTGATTTTGGTACAGTATAAAGTATTGTTTTTTGTCAAGTCCTTTAGAAGCGGCAGTGATTCAAACAATAAGGTATTGTAACGAACAAGAATGTCTAACGTGCGTGATTCGGCTGACAGTCTCCTGAAATTTGATGAAATCACCAAGAATTGAAATTTTGCACCATTATCAAAAAACATTAAAGGATTTAATTCGCAAACAGTATCAAAATAAACAAAGTTATTATTCAAAAGGTAATTCAGGGAAACTATTTATTTAAATGTATATAGTAACTTAAAAATATAATACGCATATATATGTACTGTGTGTACTGGGTGTTTTTAAACCACGAAAACAAAGTGCTTCAAATTAACGAACAAACGACATTAACGGACGACCCGCCTATTAGTCCGTTAAATTGAGGATCTACATAATTATTAGAATATTTTGTTAAAAATTTCACCCCAATCAAGGGAGACAAATTGGATCTTCAAAAATGCAAATGCAATGTCATATTATCTTCGGTATATCAATTTGTTACACTATAACTATGGTTATATCAGACCCGATTTTGACTAAATATCAAAAAAAAAATATGAATCTTTATTTGAAATATTTTACATGCAGGCACTTCAAACTTAGTTCTTTATTAACATTATAGGAACTGAAAAAACATATTATTTAGGTAAGAAAAATCAGGTACTAAAAATTGTAATTAAAAATAGGAAAATTTTGCGATGTGTACTATATATCCATGGTTGGTGTTCTAGGGTTAAGTTCGGCTCCAGGAAAAATTATAGTATTGGAAAATACTTGTAACAGCTATACTGAGATTTATAAGAGGCTGAATTTAGATAGCTAATATTATAGTGTAATGACTCAACATACAAATCCACGTCCCTGTCAAAGGCATGTTTAATAGAAATGAAAAACATTATTTATTAAGAAAATCAGGTACTGAAAAATAATTAAAATATTTGCACTGGGTACTATACCTATAGCGTTCTAAGATTAAGAAACTTTTATTAAATGTTTATGAAAGTGTGAAACTAAAATTTAAATATCTATGAATGGATTTTTGATTGCTTTCAATTTACTTTCTTTCACGAAGCAATTTTATAAGAATTCAAGACTCCTTCAGACATAATGCAGAATTATTTTGAACGTTATCCAACCAACAAGGAGGAAATTCAGCATTGTTGAATTATTGGCTACTCTATGACATTGGTTAGTGTTCTAGAGTTCAATATTGTTCTTTTATTGTCCTCTCTTTTTAATAGCAGTTTTTCTCATATTCTCTAGTACTAACTATTTTGATTTTGATACAATCAGAGACGCAGAATGAATGGAATTAAGCGGAAAGTATCACTCATCTTATTGTTTAAATGTTTCTTTACTTTTTCTGATTGGTGCCTGACAGTCGATGTGAAAAGAGCCTAATTAGGATTTTGTTTGCGGCGAAATATCAACGATTGTTGCTTTATTGATTCGATACATTGTGCTTTTCAATAGGGACAAGACGGTCCCCTGTATCCAATAGATCAGGCAGAACGTTCATTGTTTATTCAGCTGACTCAGACAATGCATTGCCTCGGGAGACATAGAGACCGAACACTACGAAATTTCCAATAAAAGGTTAACGTCTGTTTTTGCCTTATCGTCTTCGAAATGTCCGATCTTAAATAAATCAAGCATCTTTGACTAATTTATATTTTACAAATATATCAACATTTATTTTCTCTGTCATTATCTCTATTTATCTACCTTTGTACACACACACACACACACATACACACATTTATATATATATATATAATATATATATATATATATAAATAATTTTAAATAATATTTAAAAAGAAAATTTACCCTAGACTTAACCACTTTTTTTGAACTCATAATTGATATAATGTGTGAAATGACACACTACCGCCCATGTCTAAATGGTTTCTCTGTATGGAAACAAAAAATATGAACGTGTGTTTTAAAACTCAGTAAATTTTAAAATAAAGTGATGAAACAGAACTAAATTCAATTTAAAGTTTTGGTTTCTACTTTTGAAACATAGTAATTGTGTTGGGAAATTTTTTTAATTATATATATATTATATATATATATATATATATATATATATATATATATATATATATATATATATATATATATCTCATGTCACACATTATGAAATGGACGTTTGAC